CTTTACACAGTGGAATTTATTGCCCTACTTTCAGTGAGTAGCATAGCAGGGAGGCAGGGAGATGTGGTTAGCCTGTACGCCATTATGGCGTGTTAATTTGCCTTACTTTCATTTCAAAGGCAGTCTGCCACAGCGGTTGTAAGCGTCACATTCAGGGCACCAAATAACGAGTCTCAAAGAAGCCTTTTAGGCTACATTAGTTACTTGATAAAAGTTGACGGGAATGTTTGGTTTGCTAAATTGACTAACCGTCAGGACAAGTGAGGTGAGGCATCGACGAAAGCCACCTGCGGAAGGCCTCGAGGTGGGCTGGGACATTCTTGGGATCCTCACCAAGCTCCGACTTGGCGATTGTCGCATACTTTGACAGCAGTTTCTGCGAGGCAGCCATGTTTCCAAGTGAGCCGAGCTATTCGCGCAGTGCCATTTCACCATGGTTTCTTGATAACACCTACAGCACCTTGACCAATCATGTGATTGGTTGTTTACGTTTGCTTCAATGAAGAGTACATAGTTTTGTTTTTGAGTGCCTCGTATCTTCTCTGAAAAACCCCAAGAGATGTCTATTTTCTTCGCTTTCAATGTGGTTTTTCACACCAATTTCCGTTTTCACATTCCCCTCCTTCACTACACGAGATCGCATTTTTAGGCGTCCACCATTTATACTATCACTACCGCACGAATAAATATGCAGTGATTTTAGTTAAATTGTCGATATTGAAAAAAAACAATCCTTTCCAATCATCTGTTGAGACGCCATATCTCACTAACTGCCCACCAGAGCTAAAGTCGGTGGAAGGACAGAGAGTCAACCGTTTATTCGAGAACTTGACGAAGGTGTGTGTGTGTGTCTGAACGCAGGTAGTTGCGCGGAGCTCATTCACGAATAATCGAACAAACTGTGTTCGCTTGTGCTTGAACACTGCGTTCGCTCACGACTGATAACTGTGCTCGCCACACATCCGCCATCGATTCGATTATATTTGATGGTAGCCCGAACATGTGGTGCAAAAGGGAGTTTGGATGAAGAACAGTCAGATTCTGTTGGCAGTAAAGGTGTAGGAAAGGGGGTGAGGGCAAAAAACATGTGCACACTGAGACCTTCGAGGAATCGGAGCGTAGGACATGGAGCGTATGCACCTATCCACTCGGCCGGGAGGTCCCAATCAGGCACTTTGTGATTGGCGGATAGACACATTCCGCGTCGGCGGCAGCGTGAAGGCTGGGTTGTGGTGATTGGGCGTCGTGACAGGATGGCGACGCGGACGCTAATCTGATTAGTCAATTCTTCCAGGTCAAAGTGCGTGTGTGTGCGTTTGTGCAGTCAAGTGCCCAGCCTATTTCCTGTGACCACGCTCAGAAACTTTTAAGATAAGTCTCTGCCATGGTTCAGTAAATGTGCCAAACATTTTGTCCCAGTCATGATCGGTGTTGATTACCTACCACAGTTAAGTCCAAAGTGCATGCTCTGAACCACTCCCAGCATGGAGTTGAAATGATACTTGTTTGCATCTGAGGCAGTTGTAGAACTCATTGTGGCATGTAGGAAGCGTTACAATATCGACATTCAACGAAACAAGCAATGAGATCCTTGGAATATTAAAAGCTGAGCCTCTGTTCCCTCAAACGCCGCTGTAGGATTCCATCACGAATGCATTTCAACGTGGAGAAGTTGTCGAGTCTAGTTTGTGAGTATTTGAAATGACCCGGTGTTCATCATCAGACAGGAGACGCCGCATTTGACCGCCACTAGCTCCCTATTTTCTAGATTGTCTAATCTATTGAAAATGTTTATTAGTTAACTGGAAATTAGTCGATGCAGATGGATCATGTACTGTGCTGATGGAGAAGGACATAAGGGGCGTAAGAGGTACAACTCCAGAATATAAAAAAGGGCGTATTTTTGGTTTGATTTGGATATGCTCCTATGCAGATGGATAATCGATAGCTGTTTATGAACGAAGGAGGCGAACAACCAATCCGCCCAGTAAGTCTTGCGATGACTTCCAAACTACAGCCCCTGATCTACTCCACACAGTCTAGACGGACGACCAAACAGGTAGCTATTTGACACACATTTATTAATACAACTGTACAAGCAACGAGAAATTTCAATTCCAGAAGCTGTCCAAGAGGACACCGTAGCCACCATCCAAGGCCGTCTCTGTCTCCAGGTACTGCTCCACGCAGGTGATGAGGGCCAACTCAGGCACCGACTGCGACGTCGACTTGGAGGCCTTCAGTGTGTCGAGGATGTGCTTGAAGAGTCGACGAGCCTGTCTTTTGTAGAGCTTCAGCAGCACATAACCGCCCACCTCAATCAGACCGTGGAGAACCTGCAAGGAAAGGCCACAAACACGACTGTTTAGGCATTCACAACATTCCGCTCATGGCA